ACGGTCTCTCCCTAAATAGGGGCTCCCCATCAAGGTAGGGCACGGCAGACTTTCGCCATCATAGGTCCCTTCCTCCATAAACAATTATATTTTTATGGCTGTGTTAGCATAAAGATGAACACATTGGTATATAATGAAACATTTTCTTAGACATAAAAGCTCACTTTTTCCCCTTGATTTTAAAAGAAATTAAAACATGTTTGTGGGCCCCTTAAAATATTATGAGCCCTTGGCCGAGTGCGTGGCTCACATCTGTAATCCTAGCACTCTGGGGGACCAAGGCGGGTGGATTATTTGAGCTCAGGAGTTTGAGACCAGCCTGAGCAAGAGTGAGAACCTGTCTCTACTAAAAATAGAAAAATTAGCCAGGCATGGTGGCATGTGCCTGCAGTCCCAGCTACTCGAAGGCTGAGGCAAGAGGATCTCTTGAGCCTAGGAGTTTGAGGTTGCAGTGAGCTATGATGATGCCACTGCACTCCCACCATGGTGACAGATCGAAACTCTGTCTCAAAAAAAAGTATTAATATTATAAGCCCTCAGTACTGTGCCTACTACTCTGCCTAATGGGTAAGCCCTATGCCAAGGACATAAGACACCCTCATAAGCCCATTCCCTGGGAAGACCCCATCCTAGGACAGTCTAAGATTCCCATGCAGAGAGATCTGCTCTGGCTTGATGAGGAGATGCTCTTTGCCTAATCTCCATGTCCCCAAAGGCAGAGTGCCTCCAGCTGCTTCTCTTCCCTCAACTCTTGCCTGCCCTTGTCCCTTAATTTTTGGAATTCTCCTGAAGCCCCAATACCCTCCCGTCTTGAGTTATATTCTCTGATGTATGTCCCTGTGAAGATTTAGGGTTCCTTTAATATCCATGTCCTTCTATCTGAGAGCTGTCCTTTGACCCCCACACGTCCTCCAGTTTGAAGGGTGCCGGAAGTCATACTCACGCCTCGAAAACCTGAAGACGCACCTGCGGTCACACACTGGTGAGAAGCCGTACATGTGTGAGCACGAGGGCTGCAGTAAAGCCTTCAGCAATGCCAGTGACAGAGCCAAGCACCAGAATCGGACCCACTCCAATGAGGTGAATGCCCCAACTAAGAGACCCTCCCCACTTGAGAAGCCACCTACCCAGGAGATTATCCCATAAGAACTCCCTTAGCCCAGCACCCACTCCACAGAGGTGAGTTCCCCCTTCCCATATAATTCCCCCAGAGAAGGCCTTCCTGGAACCAAGAATTTCCACTCACCACTCCTCCTACCTCTAACCAGCCAAAGGGCTAATGTAAAATAGACCCAGTCTGAAGGAGACCCCTGACCCCCCAATCCCTGAATCTATGGGGCCTCACAGCCCTGGGTTCACCTCCTCATTTTTCCCAGGTCTGGGCTGTCGGTTTTCCTAATCCTCCCCTAATCCCTTCATCTTTTACTCCCATCTGTGGGCCCCCACCTTCCTTCCTTCCTTGGGCAGTGTGTGTTCCTCCCTTACCCGCCTCATCCCCAGCGCTCTTTCCCATTCCTTCTGCCTTCTCTGCTTTGATTGCGTTGCTTCTGTCTTCACTCTCCACTCAACAGAAGCCATACGTGTGTAAGCTCCCTGGCTGCACCAAACGCTACACAGATCCCAGCTCGCTCCGAAAACATGTCAAGACAGTGCATGGTCCTGATGCTCATGTGACCAAGCGGCACCGTGGGGATGGCCCCCTGCCCCGGGCACCGTCTCTTTCCACAGTGGAGCCGAAGAGGGAGCTGGAAGGAGGCCCCATCAGGGAGGAGAGCAGATTGGCCGTGCCAGAGGGTGCAGTGGTGAGGCAGCCCAGGCAACCCCCTGCCTCCATACCCAGCCTGCCTTGCGGACATCTTTCTAGTTCCTTCCCAACCCATCCATTTCCTTCTGTATTAAGCACTCTTTTGTGGCCAGTTCTCCTATCTCTCATCCTAGTGTTCTTCCTTGGGCTACTCAAAATCTAGGGATTTTAGTGTCATTAATTATTTAGTAGGTTCAACAAACTTTCTTAAATATTAAATAGCACTTAGAATCTTGTTCCAAGCCTTTTACATGTATAATTTCATGTACTCCTCACAACAACCTCATGAGAAAAGGACTCATTCTCCCTATTTTAGATGAGGAAACTCAGACATAGAGAAATTGCTCAAGGTCATAGAACTAAGAGCAAGCATTTGAGCCCAAGCAGTCTGTGTTCTAGCCTTGGCCCTTCTCATCAAACATCTCTCTTCCGGTTTGCCCCCAGTCTCTCACGTGCTCAGCCCTCTCTATGCTTAGAAGCCTCCCCTTGGCCCCAGCAGTCACTAGGACTCAGGCTTCAGCCACTCCTCAGGTGGAGGGAGCTGTGGGGAAGGGGTGCTGCCCTCAGCCCTCATCTTCTCCACAGAAGCCACAGCCAAGCCCTGGGGCCCAGTCGTCTTGCAGCAGTGACCACTCCCCAGCAGGCAGCGCAGCCAATACAGACAGCGGTGTAGAAATGACTGGCAACGCAGGGGGCAGCACTGAGGACCTGTCCAGCTTGGACGAGGGGCCTTGCATTGCTGGCACTGGTCTGTCTACTCTTCACCGCCTTGAGAACCTCAGGCTGGATCAGCTGCATCAACTCCGGCCAATAGGGACTCGGGGTCTCAAACTGCCCAGCTTGTCCCACACTGGTGAGACCTGGGTGTGGGAGGTGTTCTGGGCTGAGATATGGACCTGCCATGAGGTTGGGAGGAAGAGGCCACCCTTCAGGGCTGCCATATGGCACCTTTTTACAATTAGAAATAGGTCCCTCTTCCTCAAGACGCTTTCCGTTTGTCAGAAAATTGTGATATACAAATATACAAATATTCAAAGTCCATGACGTGAATGCTGTTCCCTAGGGTTGTGCAGCATACAACCTGTATGACTGCTCACTGCTGTTCTGGTGACCAGCAGAATAGGCATGGGAGAAGTAGAAGATAGAACCAAGTGGTTAGGGAGAAAAAACTTATCTCTGGGACTCCAGAACAAGGCTGTCACATGGGGGAAGCAGGGTGAGATTCAGGGGGCTCCATAACCACCCCGCCTTTTCTCCTTCTCACTTGCAGGCACCCCTGTGTCCCGCCGTCTGGGCCCCCCAGTGTCCCTTGACCGCCGCAGCAGCAGCTCCAGCAGCATCAGCTCTGCCTATACTGTCAGCCGCCGCTCCTCCCTGGCTTCCCCTTTTCCCCCAGGCTCCCCTCCAGAGAACAGCGCATCCTCCCTGCCTGGCCTCACACCTGCCCAGCACTACCTGCTCCGGGCAAGATATGCCTCAGCCAGAGGGGGTGGTACCCCACCCACTGTAGCACCCAGCCTGGATCGGATGGGGGGTCTTCCTGCACCTCCTTGGAGAAGCCGAGCTGAGTATCCAGGATACAACCCCAACGCAGGGGTCACCCGGAGGGCCAGTGACCCAGCCCGGGCTGCTGACCGCCCTGCTCCAGCCAGAGTCCAGCGGTTCAAGAGCCTGGGCTGTGTCCACACTCCCCTGACTGTGGCAGGGGGAGGAAGGAACCTTGATCCCCACCTCCCAACCTCTGTCTATTCACCACAGCCCCCCAATATCACTGAGAATGTTGCCATGGATACTAGAGGGCTACGGGAGGAGCCAGAGGTTGGGACCTCCATGATGGACAGTGGTCTGAACCCCTATATGGACTTCCCACCTGCTGATACTCTGAGATATGGGGGACCTCAGGGGGAAGCAGCTGAACCTTATGGAGCTAGGGGTCCAGGCTCCTTGCCTCTTGGGCCTGGTCCACCCACCAACTACAGCCCCAACCCCTGTCCCCAGCAGATCTCGTATCCTGACCCCACACCAGAAACATGGGGTGAGTTCCCTTCCCACTCTGGGCTGTACCCAGGCCCCAAGGCTCCATGTGGAGCCTATAGCCAGTGTCCTCGACTTGAACATTATGGACAAGTGCAGATCAAGCCAGAACAGGGGTGCCCAGTGGGGTCTGACTCCACAGGACTGGCACCCTGCCTCAATGCCCACCCCAGTGAGGGGCCTCCACGCCCACAGCCTCTGTTCTCCCACTATCCCCAGCCCCCTCCTCCCCAATATCCCCAGCCAGGCCCCTATACCCAGCCACCCCCTGATTATCTTCCTTCAGAACCCAGGCCTGGCCTGGATTTTGATTCCCCCACTCATTCCACAGGACACCTCAAGGCTCAACGTGTGTGTAATTATGTCCAGTCTCAACAGGAGCTGCTGTGGGAGGGTGGGGGCAGGGGAGATGCTCCAGTCCAGGAACCTCCCTACCAGAATCCCAAATTTCTGGGGGGTTCCCAGGTTAGCCCAAACCCTGTTAAAGCCCCAATGACCACATATGGACCTGGCTTTGCACCCAACTTGCCCAATCACAAGTCAGGCTCCTATCCTACCCCTTCACCGTGCCATGAAAATTTTGTGGTGGGGGCAAACAGGGCTTCCCACAGGGCAGCAGCACCACCCCGACTTCTGCCCCCACTGTCCACTTGCTATGGGCCCCTTAAGGTGGGAGGCACCAACCCCAGCTGTGGCCATCCTGAGGTGGGCAGGCTAGGAGGGGGTCCTGCCTTGTACCCGCCTCCTGAAGGGCAGGTATGTAACCCTCTGGACTCTCTTGATCTTGACAACACTCAGCTGGACTTTGTGGCTATTCTGGATGAGGCCCAGGGGCTGAGTCCTCCCCATTCCCACGATCAGGGGAGCAGCTCTGAACACACCCCTCCTCCCTCTGGGCCCCCCAACATGGCTGTGGGCAACATGAGTGTCTTACTGAGATCTCTGCCTGGGGAGACACAATTCCTCAACTCTAGTGCCTGAAGAGTGGGGAACTTTATCCATCACAGATCTGCTTTTCCTAAGGGGCTTCCATCCCTCCAGAGAGTCAGGGGAGAAGCTGCAGCCCCCTGCACAAGATGCCCTGGACTCGTGGCTGTATATATTCTGTACATGTTTTGAGGAAGAATTTGATCATGACACTGTTTCCTGTTAATAAAGGAACTGCATCAGAAAGAATGCTGCTTTATGTGTTACTCTCTTGGGTAGGAGTGATAACAGTGACTAAAAAGAGAAGCAGGGGTTAATCCACTCGCTTTCCTCTTTAGAGAAGCTCCCTCACCCCATCCCAAACCCTCAGGACAGACTCACAAAGATGCAGACAGTCATCTAGGAGACACAGGATTTAAGGGGATGCCCTCAAAACAGAACACACCACCACCAATGGAGATCATTAGAAATACATGTTTTCTTCCTTGCCCACATCAAGAGAAGAGGCTGGTGAAGTTGGTGAGCATTAGCTGGACTAGCTGCCCAGGGTAGAGGGCATGGGCTGCTGGGTCTGATGTCTCCTGTTCTGGTCGAAACAGGGTAGGTCCAAACACAATTCCCAGGTTGTGGGGAGTCATGCGATTCTTATCTGAGTGTGCTATCACCCTGTGGGCAAAAGCCAAGGGAAGGGGATATAAGGCAGCAGCTTGCCACTCCGAATCACTCTAACCCTTCAGAGGTTTGAGTGGGGAGTTGTTCACTCTGGGATCCCTCCATGTGGTGACTGAAAGAAACCAAGGGGAGAGGCCAGGAGGAATGAAGATGGACCAGTGGAGAAACCTTCAGGATACAACCTGAAGATACAGCTAGGATACAACTGCTTCTATACAGCTTCAGGAGACTGTCCCAAGAATCCTGTCTATTCACAGTTTGGGAGGCTTTAATTTAAATGGCCATGCCCTCTCAGCAGTCACTGCCTAGGCCCAACTCAGCTAAACAAGCCATCACCACTGCTCCAGTGGGAGACAAAGAGGCAGAGGGAAAGGAGAGGTGAGATTTCCCTTATTTCTCTCACAACATCCTTGGGCTTGTCTTGGTCCCATTTTCCCATCTGATGTTGACCTATCTGAAGGCTGTGACCCTGGTAACATGCCTTCTGCACAGAGGTTGACGGTCTCCTCAACTGCCCACTAAACTTAGATGCTTCCTTTCCTTTACCCCCACTAAACAGAGTCCCTGCTGCATGCCCACCTCATCCTCCCCCAACAGCACAAAGATGCTTAGTCTTCCTGACCTGCATAAATGCTCCAGGAGGTATTGCAGAGTGTCATGGTTGGGCTTTGGCATTGAGCCTATTAATTCCTGTATCTGAGAGAGGCGCTGCTCTGATTCGGAGAGTGCTAGAGAGAGAGAGAGTAATGGGAAAGGCATGGCAGTGAGGTTAAGGACGGTGCTAGGACGGGGTGGGTAAACTCACTATGCTTTCCTATACTCATGGAAGACATCATTAATCTATTACAGCTTTCTTTGTCACATAGCCCAGCTGTAGCCTCAGATTTCTTTTTTTTTCTTTTTTTTTTTGTGAGACAGAGTCTCACTCTTTTGCCCGGGCTAGAGTGAGTGCCATGGCGTTAGCCTAGCTCACAGCAACCTCAAAGTCCTGAGCTCAAGTGATCCTACTGCCTCAGCCTCCCGAGTAGCTGGGATTACAGGCATGTGCCACCATGCCCGGCTAATTTTTTCTATATGTTTTTAGTTGTCCGATTAATTTATTTCTATTTTTAGTAGAGACAGGGTCTCGCTCTTGCTCAGGCTGGTCTCGAACTCCTGAGCTCAAACAATCCGCCCTCCT